GATATATATATATAGATGTATGTATGTATACATATATATGTATGTATATATATATTTATATGTATATATATATGTATGAATATATTTATATATATGCATGTTTGTATTTGTATATATATATATCAATGTTTTGTATTTTATATAGGTGTATATATATATATATATATGTATGTGTAATTTATATATATATATGTATGTGTATATATATATTGTATGTATATATATATGTATGTATATATATATATATGTATGTAGTATATATAAATGTATATATGTGCATTGACAGTAGTGAATAAAAATTAATTACTGAATCAAGTACCCTGACCGATGGATATATAATTTCCGTAAAACTCAGAAACTGGACAATGAAATTTAACAAAACTTATACAATAAAGGACGTTGCCTCTATAGCGTCCTTGTACCTGACTATGACGAATTTAGCAACTCTCTACAAGGAAAATCACCGTGGTCGACTCGCTGTCATAAAAGAAGGAATTAATTTATTCTGTAAAATTACAAAATCACGTTCAATTTTTTTTCTGTTTTCTTCTCTTTTATTTATTTTTTTTTTCCTATTCGACCTTAATCAAATACGGCAGTTCGCTGCTACTTGAATAAATCACATAAATGTGATAAAGAAAAAGAGAAATAAAATTCCCGAGCGTTGTATATATGCATGTATGGATGAAATATATTGCTTATTTATGTATATGTATGTATGAATATGTATAAATGTATCAGATGTATTTTCGAGGCCGTAGGCTCATATATGTTGAAAAATATATATATATGTATGTATATATCACCCTTTTAGTGTATATCCATACATGTCATGTTTGTATATATATATATGTCAAAGTAACCTTTAGTAAATATTCCTAAAATATAAAATATATATAAATATATATATATATATATATATATATATATATATATATATATATATATATATATACACTGCGTGCCAAAATTATCGAGATAACTTTTTTCTAATATTTCAAAAACCGTCCAATAATTCACACAAAATTTTCACACAATGTTGGTAACACTGACCCGCGCAATCACGGAAATTTTTGTACTGATCTGCGCAATGTAAACAAACTGGCGCCATATTTGTTATCAGCACAGTGATTTGAGCGTACCAAATTATTAGAAAAGTGTAAGAATTTAGTGAAAAGATGAGCCGTAAAAGCAGTTTAAGTGATGCTGAAAAGATACTATCACCTCAGAATTCCTCAAAATGTAAATCTACCCTAGAAATTTCTAAAATGATAGGGAGGTGTCATTAAACAGTGAAAAAGTTCACCGCCGATCCTACACAAGTACGCAAAAGGCAGATAAAGCGTTTCAAGGGTTATTTCACGTCGTCTCATGTCACGACTTAAACGAGAGGCCACGAAGAACCCTGGCTTTTCAGTCGCACTGGGGATCCTACTGTGTCTAAAAGTACTCGGTGTCGGTATCTGAGGGAAATAGCAACAACAGTCAAACCTGTATCGAAGCCCCCGTTGACGAGAAATCACATTCATAATCGATTGAAATGGGCCGAGGACAATATGAAGATTGACTTCTCTAAAGTTTAGTTCACAGACGAAACTCGAGCAACACTTGATGGGCCAGATAGATGGTGCAAAGGCTGGGTAATGAACCGACAGAATCGCCATCAGCGTTTGAGACGCCAACAAGGCGGTGGAGGCATAATGATCTGGGGTGGTATTATTGGAAAAACATTAGTGGGCCCATGGAGAGTACCAGATGGCGTCAAAATGACCACCTGATGCATACATAGCGTTTATGAAGGAGCATCTTGAACCGTGGATGAAAAGGCAAATAGTTGCCTTCAGAAGGGCCATTGTTTTTATGCAAGATAATGCTCCCTCACATGCTGATCACAAGACTACTGAATATTTGAAACTGTTAGGCTTCGATGGACCTCGAAAAATGAAGTGACCAGCAAATTCCCCGGATTTGAACCTAATCGAAAACCATTGGAGCATCATGAAGCGAAGACTATGCCAAAGGGAAGTTGAGGGAAGCAATTCTTGACATATCTCGCGGTATTACAGCAGATGACATCCTACAATTAACAAATTCTATGGATTGTCAACTTCTTCAAGTAATTTCAAAACAGGGAAAGCACATTCCCTATTTATTTTTTTAAAACTGTGCCTTTGTTTGTATCTTTAATTATTTGTTTGATTATCTTATTTATTAGCTTCTTTTGACCATAAACATTCACGTGCAACATTAATAAACGTTTTGTTTGCTCAATTCTGGGAATTTTACTAAACCTTTCTAATAATTTGGCACGATTAAATTCACCGTGCTAATAACAAATATGGCGCCAGTTTGTTTACATTGCGCAAATCAGTACGAAAATTGACAGCAACTGCATGTTGGCCTCAATGTCGACTTCTACACACACACACACATATATATATATATATATATATATATATACATATATATATATATATATATATATATATATATATATATATATATATATATGTATGTATATGTATATATATATATATATATATATTAGTCCGGTTGTTAATAATTGAATTGTTTAATAAAGTAAAAAGGGTAACATCTGAAATATGTGCACCCACCCAAAAAATAACGATTATAGTATTAAGAACTGATGTTAGATTTATTTTATACTATAAGCTTTACTTTTAGTTTTAGTTATTTTATGTCGGTTGTTAGTAATTTAACTGTTTAAGAAGATAAAAAAACAGGGATAGCAACTCATATATTTTACCCACTCAAAAGTAATATGTTTATGTTTCGGTTACAAAACTATATATATATATATATATATATATATATATATATATATATATATATATATATATACATATATTAATCGATTTCAGCCCAAACAAGGTCGTAAAGCCACTAAGTCACAAGGAAGAATTATGGACAGAAATATTACTAATGAGTGGAATGAGAAAATCGTAATCAGGAGGATATTAGATAGCGATTGACATTATATTTAAATTTCTGTTCCTAATTTCTTCCCTTGCCCAATAACCCTTTATGTTGTTGTGGCTTTACGGCTTGTCGGGCCATGCTTTCCAGCCAACTTTAATCCCCCAAAATTTAAATGCAATGTCGATCGCTATCTACTGTCCTTCTGATTACGCTTTTCTCTTTCCACTGATTAGTAATGTTTCTGTTCCTAAAACAAATGAGAAGTGCTAGAAAAGAAAATGTTAGCATGAAACTTACGGTTACAGCTAGCCCAGCTCAACTGTAAATTGATGAGACTTCAACGCCAATCTAGTACTGCGCTCAAATTGAAAAATTTTAGTTACCATAGCGAACAGCTCATCCGAACAATTACCATGAATGTATTTATAGAAAAGACACAGAGAGATACCCTTACGACGGGTCAAGACCAATAATATTGCTAATTTTTCTGTAGATAAATACCAGGAGCACTGGACCATATTTCGCAGCAATATTCTTAGCATGGGTGAATGGTAGACGTATAGATATGTAAGACAGATTCTTTCTTTAGTTGAGATTCTCGATCTAAACCGATTGTCATTAATTTTAATGTTTAAGAAAATTAAAAAAAAAACAAAAAAAAAACAAGGATAGCCACTCGGAAACGCGTATCCACTACAAATAACGTTTATAGCAACGTGTGATTGTGTGTGCTTATATCTACTAAATTTATTAATCGTTTCCTCTAAAATACGAATCCCTTTTCGCAAATGTGGCTGTTGGGGATGTAAAATATCCGAAATTTAGCCTATGTCTAAGCTTTCGACTCGCATAAGTCATCTTCAGGGTTGTGCTCATACACGTTGCCATTACGCGTTGATGACATGACTTTCTGCGTTCTAATTTATTGGATCCACCTTTAAAACAAAACAACACTTTTAAAGCAATTCACCGCTTAAAATACATTTGATTTTCTTTTCTCCTCTTTGCTTTTTCATACCCCTGAAGATGACTCATGTGTATCGAAAGCTTTGACATAAAAAATTTGCGAAAACTGATTCGCGTTTTAGAAAGAATAAATGTAATAAATAATTACAACAATTATAACGTAATAATAAATTTTAATAAATGTATTATTTTTAATAAGAAATGTTTGGGAAAACAACTGCTGCCAATACACACACACACATGTGTATATACTTATATATATATATGTGTGTGTGTGTGTGTGTGTGTGTGTGTATTTAGGCAACAAATTCTCGTTTAGATGTGCCTGAGTAAATAAATTGTCTTAAAAATTATGTGTGCTTATTTTTAGCATAATCCTTTCACATTCACGAATATTTTTCCGTGTATTACAATCAAGAAATGCACTGTAACAGTGAAAATTGCTTTTATTTCCCAAGTACTTTCCATCTCCTTCTGAGATCGTCATCATCAGGGGTGGGGAATTTGGTAAGACAAAAACTATGTGTAGATATCCATTACTGATAGTTACAGTGAATTTCTTGTCTCATTTGATTGTAATACACGGAAAAAATATTCGTGAATATGTAAGGATCATGCTAAAAATAAGCAGATATAATGATTGTAATATATATGTGTGTGTGTATTTAAAATACCATATAGAATCTCGACAAAGTTTTTTTTAAAAATTGACAAATGGAAAATTTGATTACATGTTTCGAGCATTTTTTTTCACTTTCGATCCCTTCTGAAAATAAGATGAGTATTTACCTTTAATTCGATACCAAAACGCTGGGGAAAATATATTAACAACTTTCGACATGAACTAAGAATTACAAACACACATTTTATTCTTTCGTTTTTGGATCTGATGAAGCCTAGAAAGGCGAAACGCGTAATCAAATCTAGCTTCAATATATATATATATATATATATATATATAAAGGGTGCAGGCCTTCTGAAGTGCGACGACGAGGACATATTTCAAAAGGTAGAATCATATAAGAAAGATTAATTCTGGGTATGTTTTGGCATAAAGTTCGTGGTGCTCAAAGTAACAATGTTTTATTACTTACAATCTATACTGACTGCTAGATATTCCCCGGATGCACTTGCTGCGCACGTGGCTACTAAAGGTTTCACTTCATTTTCAACCTGCAAAAAGAAAGGAAAAAATAAACAATTTGTTCATTGAGATTCCAATTCCGGTGTTATCTCAAATGTGACCATTAAGTTAACCAATGTAAATGTGATGTCTATCCCGACTGTTATAACAGTCGGGATAAACATCACATTTTCAGGATCTGGAAACTGTTATATAAACAAATGAATTTGTTTATATAACCGTTTCCTGATCCCGAAAACTTTAACCTCAAAAAATTAACTAAAAACTATCTCCCTCACTACTCTCTCTCTCTCTCTCACACACACACACACACACACACATATAAATACCAATACTATGTGCATGAAAAAAAAACACCGAATGGGAACCATAGGGCCGTAAGTCTTTAATGTTGCTAAAATACAGGGTACGGCAAAAATACATCCAACATATATCTCCCTGAAATGTCAAGACATTAGCTACATGAAACCGCCGATTGACACTAATGTCTTACCATTAAGTGGGAATTATTTCTGTCGCACCCTGTATTTCTTAAATTAGTAAATAAGCACTTCGCTGATAACAAGCTGCTGAGAAAATTGTTCAGCAAGAATATAAAAGTCCGATCAGGTGACCTGGTTAAAATATTCAGAGGGAACAACAATAAAATTTAAAAGCATTAGAAGTATTGCCAACAAGGATAGAACGTACAACTGCCTGCTCCTATTCAAATGCTTAACTAAAAATACGGTGTACAAGGCTATAATACGTAGCGGGAGATGAAGAAAAAATTACATTGGCGTGGCAGCAAGGGATATTTCAATTTCATGTTAAACATGAACAATGAAAAGTACAGACATGCCACGACTTTGTCTACGTACTATTGGCAGAGGAAAGAAGTTGAGTTGAGATTTTAAGTACCGAGTGTTTTGCAGTGGGGGAGGTAGATGTCACGGGGCATGGTGGTGAGGGAGTAGTGAATGGAAAGTAAGAGCTCATGTTTGTCTGTGATAGAAGATGTTGATGTTGGATAAATTAAAAGCCGCCACCATCTGCCTCGATTCCTTGACGTACATCCGGGCTTCCTGAATAACACGTCTTTTATGGTAATGAAGACAAGAGGGACAAAGGAAAACAATGCATAACTTACCTAGCGATCTTCAGTAAAGGGATGGTGGAAGAAGGTTTAGGACATAACAGACAAAATTTATTAAGAGCTACAAAGGACGGGAAGGTGTGGAGAGCCATGATCGACAACGTTCTGAAGGGACACGCCACGTAGAAGAAGTACATATAAGTATTCGTCAGGAAGTACTTAAAAAACGGTTTCACAAATGGTTAGAATGTTAGACATGCTTCATGCACAAAATGAACTTAAAAGCATCTCTCAACATAGTTGTTGTATCCTTGCGCATGGTCTACAATATCTAATAGACTATAGATAAGCGGGACAAAATCGAAAAGAAGCGGAAAAGCGATGGGTGTTGACCCAACCGCTGCCTAGAATCGGACTTTATTAACACCTTCAAGGCCAAAATTGCAAAGGACCCAACAGCATCCATGCGTAAGATTACTACTGAACTTAAAGTAGTCCGTAACCTCATCAGATAACCTAGACTTTAAACCATGCACCAGAACGCTGAAGATCTCGCGCATTCCATGATAGCACGGAGGCTGAACAGGTAAAAGAATGTGCTCAGTTACCTCAAGAATTATTGAACCGCTGTTAAAAAATTCTCTGGTAAGAAAATATTCACAGTGAACCGTGTTTAAAAACGCCGAAATGAGCAGCACCTCACGGAATCAAAGATTGGTGCCAAGAGCATTTCAGGGTCAAGCAAATAGCCAAGATCATAAGCTTAGGTGTTGTGACTCCCAACGGTAAAAAGATTTCCCCATTCTTATAAAATCTTGGAGAAAATATAGGTACTGATGTCTAAAGATCATGTATGTTTTGTCATAACTCGAAGCCAACTAATAATAGTAGATAGGTTCGACTATCGTCCGGTTCACACCCTCCCTTGTCTTTTAAACTAGAGTAGAAGCTTATCCCTTATTTCCTGTTTAGGATTGGGTTTCCGGCTTCTTCTAAAGTAATTTCATTCTCTTTCACTCTCAGTAGCCCCCTGCGTCTCAGTAGCATTATCGTCTTGGGGTGAATCGATAAAAAAAAACAACTAACCAGTGAAGCTGGACTGTATTCTTAATCATCCAACCAGTAAGGTGCCGAAGTTCAGCAAAGCTAAACTTGCCGATTTCTGCTCAGCAGACTGATTCTCCTCCAGCCTGGACCCCAACCGCTAGACTAAGCCCTGTGGGGCAAGCTACAAACAAGACTTCCAACCCCAACTCTAATAGCCTCAAGGCTGTCACTAAGAACGAGTGGGCCACGGGTTTCATGGTTAATTGTTGCATAGTTTTTTCTAGGTTGTGTTGAGGGTGTAACTGACAACAATCGAATCCGCATTGATTAAATAATCCGTTTTAATATTATCTATAAGTTTCATTACTATCGTCTTGTATCAATAGGTTTATTATAGACTAATTTCAAAGATCGAAGTAATTTTGAAAGTTTTGATTTTCCAACTTATGTGCACACAACACAGCATTGTTATTTCCCTCATTATTTAATCAAAATCTGTAAAATCTATTGTGCCCGTCTTTATTGCCACATTCAAGAGCTTTCAGTCGTTGTATAGTCCGACCTTCTTCAGGTGATATACGCTGGAACTTGAACCGAACCCTTTATTTAGTCAATAAAGACGAGGACAACAGTCCGAACGATGTAAATAGTGAAGTTACAATAAATCATCTCAGAAATATAAATAAATATATACCTACCTTCTCATAAACTGTAAATACCAGTTGAAGGATGTCTGGTTCAATAAACAAAAACACGCGGGCATCACCTGTAAAATTAAGAAATATCTTATAATCCAAGTGCTTAATATTAATATTTAAATTGGGTAAGTCTTCATGTTTGAATCGGACAGGCCTAAGCATATTAGATTTCTCTCTAGGTAATACGGATTCGTTTAAAAAGGTTTCCTTCTAAGCCACTTTTGTTTCAGTCAAATAATTCTCCGGCAATGTCAACCTTTGGCTCAAGGCCAGTTTTTTCAAGTAATCATTCAGGAACAACCTCTGTAGCGATGGCGTATAAGAATAACACACAATGACAGATTTTCTTTCTGTTAATGTTCTGAGGTGAGGTATTGTTGCGGTTTAAACAACAAAGCCGGTGATACCGACCCGAAGAATTCATGCCATCTTGAAACTTTAACCAATGTTTATAAAACTTGACAGTTGTCCGTCATATGACGGTGTTCTAATGTTAGTAACCATACTTTTGTTATTGTGGGTAATATCACGTTCAATTTACTAAAGTATTGCTTCAAATGAAATGTGACTTTTGGTGTCAACGTGTTATTTTTATTAAAACATTATTTATCCAAATATTAACTATATCATTTCTATGGATTTGGATATACAGGCATTGTAATAGCGTCTCAAAACGAGAAATCGGCGAGACGAGTTAGAATTCCAGTCGTCTTCGTTACATTCAATTTCATATAAATACTCCTGATGATGGTATTAACCCATCCCTTCTTCCCCAAGCTATGTGTTAAATAACAGTTTAGAGTAGACTGACCTCTCTGTAGCCATTGCTGCCAACTAGTCTAATAGAAGTAGATTAGAACCTATGGCCCAGTTTACACCCCAACTCCGGTCTTTTGAATAGGATGCTTATTCCTTGTTTTCTGTTTAGGATTAGAATTTCAGTTCCTTCTAATGTATACTTCCACGCTACACTTCTAACGTCTCTGCCTAAACTCTGAAATTTTATTTAATATTTTACCTTTTTTCCTCAATAGAATTAGATAGGTTTGCCTATCGTCCGGTTCACAGTCCTCTCCTGTCTTTTGAACAGGAGTAGAGAGATATCCCTTGTTTTCTGTTTAGGATTGGATTTCCAGTTCTTTCTAACGTTTACTTCCACACTATACTTTTAACGTCTCTGCTTAAACTCTGAAATTTTATTTAATATTTTACCTTTTTTTTTCCTCAATAGAATTAGATAGGTTTACCTCTCGTCCAGTCCACACTCTTCCCCAGTCTTTTGAACAGGAGTAGAGGTTTATCCCTTGTTTCCTGTTTAGGACTGGGTTTCCTGTTCGTTCTAAAGTCTACTTCCACTCTATACTTCTAACGTCTCCGAGTGAACTCTGAAATGTTATTCACTATTTAATTCTTACCCTCTTCAAATCTAAAGTTAGCCGTTATCTTTCCTGCATAGCCCTAAGAAATTCACTTTTTACCCTTTCTTACGCTCCTACAAAACCACACAATAACCATCTACCGTGAGTGGCTCTTGAGCCTTGTATTGGTAAACATTAGTAAAAAAAAAAAAAAAAAACTAATGTCTAAAAAGACAACTAAATTCAAAACCGTATGTAGCCCTGGTGAAACATACTATGCCGCCATTGAAAGGATTATAATGACTATGATTTGGCTACGGGCGGTGACATAGGAAATTTCTCTAGTAGGCATCGAACTCGCGAGATTAGCGCCCTGTTTGGTCAAGATTTAGTCCTTTGGTGATGAGACTGGGGTGATCTCTCCAGGCAGCAGGCCTGGCCGATGGTATATGGAGGCCATGCGCTGTCCAGACTATATGACCACCCTCTCAAACGTGCCAATAAAATCCAAAGAAATACAGGACATTACATTTATCGACGCGTGGTTAGAACGTGCGCTTTCTGACCATGAGACCCGGGTTCGAATCTCCGCATGGTTGATTTGTCTGGAAGGTGACTTCTTGATGTTATTGGTCTGGATGAGGCGATCCGAGTGTGCGGAACCATTGGAAATTGCGTGAAATTGGGTGGGACGGAACCCTTTGGAAGCCATCGGTTGTTGTGCTAGCACGAAGTCACAAGTCATCGTGCCCGAGAGTTTGAGCATGCTGGCTTTGTTCAGACTGCTGATCACGCTAGATAACACGCTCTCTCCCAGAAACTGTAACTAAGGTCCACTCAGCATAATTGCAGTATAAACCACAGGTGGGCTCTGTTGAACAAATACAAATGTGCCTGAGCAGGCGTCTGCAATGGGGATTAGCTAATCGCTCTAGTAGATTGACATCGTCGGATACGAGTCATTTACTTTTTACATTTAGGGACGGCTTGCCTGCAGGAGTTGCCGGGAAGCTGTCAGTATTGACAACCAACCGCCTTTGGGGCTTCCATAATTTTTTCTGTATTTGTATATGACCGTAAGGCACGCAGATGTTTAAAATCAGAGTTTTCCTTCCTATAGATGGACTGTCTTCCTGGGCTGTCACGCTCCATCTACCCGAAGCGACTGGTTACGAGGCGCCAGTTGCCCACCTTCTCCCATGCTCTGGTCAGAATCTATTTAAATCGCATGCCACAGAAGCATTTTATAGACAGTGAGAGCATGTCCCAATTATCACCCCCGGCTATGACAACCTTTGGAACCTATATAAATATTATATACACTACGTGTTTTAGAAATTTGTGTTTTTTTTTTTGGGGGGGGGGTAAATATATTTAATTTAACTTATTGCAGGATGTTTTGAAATCTAAAAAAAAAAACTACGTAATAAGATCTTTTTATTTAATGACATTTAAACATGCTTTATCGATCTATCACTTCACCTATATAGTATGCTTCTTGGGTAAGACGATAAATTACGGCCAACAGCAAGGCCTCTGATCAGGAAGTTTTGAGAAGCGCGGAACCACCTCTTAATTGCTGGTGTTCCCTGACCAAGGGTGGTAGCACTTGTTAGGGTCCCAGCTATGGGCAAATAGTTGACACCCAAACAGGTGTCAAAACGCCGTGGAGATATAGAAATAGGTATTAATACCAGCAATACATTATTGAGGAAAAAATTATTACCAGCAATACATTTTTGAAGAAAGAGTTACCAGCAATATACTTTTAAAGGAAAAATTATTATCGGAGATACAATTTTGATGGAAAAATTATTACCAGCAATACATTTTTGTGGGAAAAATTATTACTAGCAGTGCTTTTAAAGGAAAAATATTACAAAAAATATTACCAGCAATACATTTTTGAAAAAAATATTACCAGCAATAAAAGTTTTGTCGGCATTAAATAACCCATTGAGGTTAATATGCCGTAAAACAAACCAAACTAAACCAAACCAAACCAAACCAAACCTGTATAGTATACATTATATAATGATCTTGAACATTTCGACGACGATTCACTTCATTTTTCGTTGAAAATATATATATTAGATTGAGTCATACATCATGTTCCCTTTTAGTTATCAACTTTCTTCAAAAAATAAATTACATTTTCTTCAATGATATATTCAGCATTATTTGCAATGACTTGCTCCCACATACCACGCAGTTATTCGATATGTTGCAGGACACACCTCTTTGCTTACGAGTTATAGACGTTTTTCAGTAAATATTTAACAGTTCCTGGAACATTTGTCCCACAGACAATATTTGGCGGTAAAAAAATTACACAAAACACGAAATTTATAACAAATGTCAATTGATGTATATTATTAACAAAAGGAATGATATATGAAAACTAAGCTATAAGAATGTGTGAGTGTGTTTGAGAGAGTGAGTGTGAATGTGTGAAAGTTTCATAGTCAATGGACCAAGGAAACGAACGCGTTCCGGCGGCAACATTTCTTATCTTCGTTCGTCTAAATCAAGAGAAGTAAGAGGGGAAAAAAGGAGAGAAGGAAATATTTGCCTTTTTATAGACTTTCCTACACGAAAGCCAACAATCTTCCACTGGATGGCATGCCACTAGCGTTTACTGCTGTTGGCCTGCTGGCGGGCCGCCGGCGTGTTCCTCTCGACAATATTAAGACTGGCGGACCGCTAGAAGTCCACCGGTGGCTGCCACCAGAGGACCGCTGGCGTTACCATCGGCGGCCCTGCTAATCAGCCACTAGCATCATGCGTTTAGGGTAGCGTCACGAGTATTTTTGGCAAAGCCAAGTGGGGTAACCTACTGATAATTTTTGAGTAAAATTATGCAGGTTTTTGACTTGAAAAAATATTTCGACGGATTTGGTTTTCTTTAAAAGTTTTTTCTTCGTCATAAGCGTTTCGCAGCCATTGGAAAAGGTAATAATTGGATGGTAGAAGGTCAGGTGAATATGATCGACTGAGTTCCAAACTGTTTCCTCTTTTTTTTCTTGCTGTATGCGGCCTTACATTCTCATGTTTGGAAAACAACATTTTCCCTTTAATCCACTGTGTACGCTGCTACTGCTGTGCAAAAACTAAGGTATGTTACTATACTTAATATATATTTATAGACAAGAGAATCGGGGAAAGCAGCCACAACACTTGCGCACCTCACAAAACGTGTGTGGACCAATCCCAAGCTGTGGGTGAAGACCAAGATGGCAGTATACAACGCCTGCGTTATCAGCACACTGCTATATGGTAGCGAGGCTTGGACTACGTGCGCCAGGCAAGTAAGACGTCTAAACACCTTTCACTTGAGAAGCATCCGCAGCATTCCTGGGAATAGCGTGGCAAGAAAAGGTGCCCAACACTGGGGTCCTGTCTCGATCAGGTTTGCCAAGCATGTTCACACTGCTCAGACTCCATTGGTTGGGCCACGCCCATCGCATGCCAAACGACCGCATCCCCAAAGACCTCTTGCACGAAGAGCTAGCCGCTGGAACGAGATGCGTCGGGCGGTCACAGCTGCGGTACCGCGATGTAGTGAGACGCGACATGAAAGCTGTGGACATCAACACAGCGTCCTGGGAAAGCCTGGCAGCCATACGATCCGAATGGAGAGGAACCCTGACCAAACCCCTCAATTCAGGGGAGGAGAAGCTAACACATGTCACCATGGAAAGGCGGACCCGCAGAAAGCAAAGTGACAGCGCCAACATAACAGTGACAGAAACACACGTGCGACCTCTACAACAGAGATTGTCACTCTCGCATCGACCTCTACAGTCACAGACGTCGATGCTCCGGCCAAGCAGACAACTTGGATGCTACCCATGGTCAAGCCTGACCAACGGAGGCCTACACGATTTATTTATAACTACCATGTATGACTAGTAGTTAGAATGATACATTCGTCATTACAATTGCTTCCCTAAAACGGAAATTGCTTATGACTCAACCTAATATATTCATAATCCAAGGGAAGTAATTTCTTATTTACTTAACAAGTTTGTCTAACTTGGAATTAAATCAAACCAAGCATGCATTGATACTTACGAAACAAAAAGAATTGTGACTGTTTTATACTTCCCCGACTAAATATACAAAACTGAAATATTATATATATTAATAGGACCTTGCTGTTTGCTGAAATATCCCTTATCCGCGTATTCTTCATTTAATTTCGGGTTCAAAACCTTTATTAAGCTAAAACTACTTTGCAAAATATATTTCATAGGAGTATGCTTTAAAAAAAAGGCAAACGTAATACATGTCTTTACTAATAATGCCATTTTGAAAAATATTTTTACCGTTATTTTAAATATCGTCAAGAGCACCAAGTTGTTTTTATTAGCTACAAAATATTATATAATGAAAAAAAAACAATGTAAAAATTATATAAAACTAAAAGTAATTAAAGGGTAAAAAAAAAAAGCAGAAAGAAGATGTTAGCTGATTCTGGGATCTGAACAAAAGGAAAAAATAAAAGTCGCCGACGAAAAGAAGAAAAGAAAGTAACAAAATTTCTACAGATTTAGAGAGATATACGATTATCTTTCTGTAGCTGTGTAAGTTTGTCACAAAATTAGAAGTATTAAACCTGGTTTTGAACTTTTATGAAAATACGAGATTTATCTCATTTTTGGATATCAGTTTATAAAATGAAACTATTGTCAAAAAGAAAGCCATACGTCGCTTGTGTATCGTCAAACTTCAACTCCTTTCGACAATAGAAGCAAGTGAACATTTTGTTGAAAATAATTATTTTTTTTTTAATGAACCTAACAGAATTGTAATTAGATTAATTGTAATTAGTAATAACAATTACTTGTTACCTTGCCTCAGTATTAGACACACAAAGGAAAATTTTGTAGAAGCTTGTTTTGGAAATTTTGTATTCTGTGCTATTATTATTTTTATGTCACTTAAGTAATGTAAATTTCTTTCTAATTTCACACCAGAGTAAGTATTTCCTTTTTTTTTTTTCATTTTTCGATATCTTTACTAAGTTTGACGTAATTAATTTATGCGTTAGTTATTGGTAGATTTTCCCCGTTTGTGTCTATATGTGTGTGCTAAATGTCATGGTTATTTCTCTTTTTCAAAGAAATATTTGAAAAGATAAATTCAAAAATGATGCCTTGTGCCATTAGACGACAGACATTAACATGATCAGACAGTTCCCATTCCTATTCTTTCTACTACCGTTTCCTCCTCCTCCTCCTGATTCTATTTCACGCTATATTTTGACTTCGTACAAATAATAGTCATTCTTCTTATTACACTCTGTCAATGTCGATAATGGCGGTGCTGTGACTGGTATTTTTCAGTTCGAATTTTGGTACAGTTTTATAACTTCTTAACAGTGAACTTTCAAATATTGATAAAAACTATTGACAAAACAAGTAACTGTCAAATTTTAAGCACGCAGCTTGCGTTATTTACACAACCTATTTAAAATTTTCAAAAAAAAGAAATTGTTTTTATCATGCTGATTAAAAAGTTGCACCAAATGATACAACAAATAAGGCGTTGGTCGATAGATTTAATTCAAGCTGTTTTTGTTGTTGTTTTTGTTTTTTTCAAAAAAAGGCGTCTACTCAAATGTGTATCCACTAAAAATAACGTTGCGAATAATAATATAAAATATACACTACAGTTCAAAAGTTTGAAGCTACCCTCAGAAATAGCATGTAATGAACTTGATAGAAGAGTGAAAATAAAAATAAAAAAAGACCTTTTAGAATCATTGAAAAAAGAATGGAATCAATAATCTAACTTATACTTTGAGACAATTTTGCAACGAATTCTAAAATATCATGCTGAAAGTAATTAAGGCTAAAGGAAGATATTTTGACGGGAGCAAAATTTAATCATAAAATGCTTGTTTTCTTTTTGTCATAATAAAATTTCTAATAAAATATCATCTCTCGCTTTCTTTATACCGATGTATAATTTTCACTTATTTAAATGTACAAAACGATTACCTTTGGGGCCAGTTTAAAAAATTACCAGGGGTTTCCTCAAACTTTTGAACTCTAGTGTATATTCAAAGCAATTCATCCTTTTCAGCAGCATTTTTCCTGGAGAGTTGGGGAGCTCGTAGAAAAAAATCTTTATTCATAAAAACCTAGTATCTGATTATTTTGTATCGATTCTTTTACATAAAACTTTAAGCATCGCTAGGTCTTTGCTGCAACTTTACAGGAATTTTTCTTAATCCTCAATTTCTCTCGTCATTTTAAGTTCTTTTTTGGTGGAAGCCGCTAGTACCATTTAAATGTTTGTTTGTTTTTGTTTTTTAATTGATGAACTTAAAAAAAATAGATGGTATATATACTATATAATCAATCAAAACTCACATAGAAATATTAAATCATTTTTATAAATATAACCGATTTTTGCTACTAATGCTAGTATAAGTTATGAAAGACTGACATGCCAGTGACGAGACATTTTTTATGTCTTGATCATGAGGGTGAAGTGAAAATGCCTGCCAAAATTCAGAATTCGGCTCGCCGATTCTAATTTCAGTACTGTTAACCACTACACCACCTCGTATTACTACTCTTAGGTTTTTTTTTGGGGGGGGGGTGACATTCTAATCTGAAACTGTTACTAGCCGAATACTTGTCCTATGATAAATTTCTAATATTGTGAGTGGGAGTACGCTGAACTTTGTTCGTGACTGTGGTTGAGATAGAAATGACGATTTTCTGCCTAGTCTCTGGCAATATTTATTATTGTAAAAATACAACAAATGTGGCACAAGGCCAAAAAGGGGGTTGGGATAAAGGACGGTCATCACTTGTCTTAATAGAAAACTTAGCTAGCCACAACCACTGACCCTATCATACAAAACAATATTCCTTTCACCAAAACAACACATTTATCCATACCTTTCTTACTACAGCCACCAAAATACCTCTTTGACTCAATGAAAATCCTAAATAGTCCCCTTATGTACAAATATTGTCTAGGGGGGGGGGGCATAAAAACAACAATTTTTAAAAGATCCCCAATGAGTATATACAATATGACATAATATATTTACAAGAAACTAAATAAAAAGATGTTAGTAATAAAAAAAACCAAAAAACTTAAATGTGGCAGAAATATCAGTTAACTGGACGAAATCGATGCGGGACTATGAAAATAAAGGAAACATTCATTCCTCCCAAGCATTCACACACACATTCATACACAACAACAAATACGAAAAACACACACGTTAATCGAAAGGTGCCCCGCATCCACCAGGGAACTGACATCACTGACCACCTAAACGAGGGAGGAGATGGGGAGTTAAACTAAAGGAGAAAAAAAAGAGGGGACAGAAATAAAAGGGGCCAATGAGCAAACACACCCTAGGTAAGTTTACTAAAAAGAAGAGAAATTAAAACTCAAAAAGCAAGACCTACACTAACCTAATCTCGGGATGAGTTGACCATGTTCAACCCAGGAAAACTGCCTAGTCTCTGGCTATCTACATTTTGGTGGAGGATTCGAAAAAGGCTTTTTGAAATTATGGAGTATTTTCATTGGTCAATAAATTAGATATATCATGTGACCAGTTTCCTGTACGTAAGAAATTAGCAGCAGTTATTTAAAAAGAAAAGAGATATAAAACGCTAAATTTAAATGTTATGCGTACAGCTTTTATGTGATTACGGCTGTTTTTGGGTGGGGGGTGTTTTGTTTTGGGTTTTTTCAGTTCTAAATAGAATTGAAGAATATGTGTTTGACTGAAGGAAAACGAATATTCTGTTTGCTATAAAAAATGAAAATCTACTTAAAAGTCTGGAGTTTGGAAACCAGCAATAAAGACATATTTAATTGCTTACTTACCCAAGTCGTCGACCGACGTGATGAGGAATGTTTTCTGTGGGGTCGAATACAGATGTGTCTCTAGGATTTCAGTGTTTGGCCCTTGCCAACTTGCACAGACAGTTTGAGAAAGCCCATCCACCACATACAGACCGCTTGCTGTACCGAAGACAATGTAAGGTTCATCGTCGCAATAACCCGCGGTGCTTATATTCGATACCTTCAACGAAGAGATGGAAAATGGAAGGTGTAAATAGAAGCATTCAAACTGGCCAATAAGAATTTGTTGTAGTAAACCAACTTTGACAGCAGATGTTGAATTCATAGATTGGAAGAATTTGTTTTTTTACGATCGTCTTTATTGTTCTTCGAATCAAACAAAATAAATGGCGATATCAAGAAACAAAATTTCGACGATGAAAAAAATGTTACTAATAATGTATTCTTAAAGCATTCTTTGGAACTTGTCCAAAATCATGAGAATTGTTCTAATCTTTCCCTCTTATATCTTGACTGCAAGAGTTTAAACGTAGTACTAGATTGGCAATTAGGTCTCATTGTTTTACTGTTGAACTAGCTAGATATAACCAGAAGTTCTTTTCTAATAGTTTTTACTCGCCTGTGGAACTCTTTTACTTCCCTGCCACCTACAATGCAATGTCAGTCGTCGTCTTGTTCTTTTAAAACCTGTTCTTTTATTGTCCTTTCTCATCACTAACGTTTTCTCATTCTTCTTGCACTCAGTAACCCCTTGCGTCTTAATGGCATCATCGCCTTAAGAGATGAAATGATTAAAAATATTATCTAAACAAACACATGTACATTAGATTATCATAGATGCGAGATACTTTTGGTGGAATACCAACAAAAGTTCTTTAATTTGTTTTTCTTGTTCTGCTTTCCAATCTTAAGTTCAAATATAAAATTTCCAATATCTTTTCGTCAAAAAAAATCTTTGGTAATGGTTTCTGAAAGTCGAAAGTACTCAAAAGACATTGGAAAATTATGTTCAAACTCCGCCTAGAAACCAAAAAAATGGTTCCAACCGAAGAAAAAAAATATCATGAAGAACTTTCGTTGCTCTTTTAACCAAATGCGAGTCAGTTTAGAACACATCGGATCTAACGATGGTTTCTCCTGCAGAGGTGGGGAGACACAGGTTCACACACGCAACTGGTTTTTAATTCCAACGTTCTCAGGTTTGATGAAATTGTTGCGGGGGAGTAAGTTATTAGGAAAAATATGTGCATATCAGAAGATATTTGTGTTGGCTGCGTGAAAAAAAAACTTCTCCACAAACATTTAACTTTGAGTATGGCACAAGGCTATCAAATCCAAAATATAAAACAACGATATGTTTTTCTGGTTTCTACAAAACATTTTTATATCAACAATACAGTGTAACCCGGATATAAGAAAGTTGTCGGGACCGGAGAAGTAGTTTCTTATATCCGGGTTTCTCTTATATCTGGGTTTGGTCTATTTTGTTTAGGTAAGTATGGGAACACTTTGGGACCAGAGAAAATCTCACTTATATCCGGGTTTCTTTTATATCCGGGTTACACTGTATACAAAACTGAAGAATGAATTTACTCAGGTAATTTAAACTGAGTTGCAAATTGTTACAAAGTGTAGGCTAATATGTAGCATTTATAATTAATAATATAGAAGGAGTTATTCACATTTTAATTTAAAATTCTTAAAGCCTTTTAGAGAAACATTTTTTAATCTGGACTCACAGAAAAAAAGAGTCCAGTTCATGAAATAATAGTAAGTTTCAATAGAAAGAATGTTCTTTGATAAGGTGTAGGCTGAAATTCAATGTAAGTTGAGTTCAAAGAAACTTGTTGATTGAGAGAAAATTTAATCTTCACTTGCAATATCAAGAAGTTGTGTTTGGCACTAAAAATGGATTTTTTGGTTTTTTAACTTCTGAATAAAATTTAGCGAAAATAAGTTGAAATAACTTGCCGCTTAAATTGTTCACCGAAGAGAGCTGAATATGAGTGAGAGAATTCTGGAAAGCTAAGATTATCTTGAATCGAAATTTATAGCTCCAGAAGATTTTGAAGTAATATTCCTCGCTGGTGAAAGTTGTATTCTCTTGGACGGCATGTTTGTTGATGAAGAAAACCCCACTATTAGAAGTTGATAAGTTTCTGTTGCTTGTAGTTGAAAGAGTGAATAATGTTCGTAGGTACGTGCATGCGTGTGTGTGTATACGTGCGTCATAGCGTCTTCATAGCGTTTTCCCTTAAAGGGGTAAACGCGATTTCTCCACAGCTACATCTTGTATGTGTGAGAGAAGGTAAAAGAGGAAGAGTTGAAAATGTCGCTTGTTATTTATGATGTTGCATAGGCTTGAATCACATAGACAGACTTTTGGCGGCAAATTAAATTTAACCGTGCAGACGTAGTAAAAAACATGATATTGACCACTCACAGGAGTCAGAGAAATATCAAGGCTCTGTGATCCACTTTTTTTACAGATTTTTGTCGATCACAGTACTGTTACATAGGAAATGTATTGGAATCCTTTTTAACCAGTGGAATTGGTTAGATCAAGAATAAAATATTATTAAATTGAAGTAGAACACTAAAAAAATCGTTTTAACTCATTCAAGGTGACTTCATATAAACGGGCAAACTGAAATTTGTATGTGTGTTTGTATATAATATATATTCCTGTCAGAGGACACACATTTTCTATGAACTTTCTCTTATATTCAGGCCGGTAAATGTTGTTAATACTGTTTATTATAAACAGATCATTTAGTTAAATATATGTGTCTATAAAAATAACGTATAAACAAAAAATATATTAAAATAATTGTCAAACTTAGTCCATTTCATAATATATGATGTCATTTGTTTACGCTAAGATGCGCTTCGAGTAGATATGAGCGTTCGGAAGAAATCAAATTTGTAGTTTAAGAACTGGATTAAATCCGACATATTGTTATTTTTAATTTATTTTGTATTTTTGTTTATACTTATTTTTATGGATACTCATATTCAAGTAAAGCGCTGTTTTTTGGGTTTTTTTTATTATTAAACACTAATTCTTTTCCAATCTAAATTTAGTATGTAGTTAATACCCTTTAATTAAAAACAGAGTATTTACTTAAATAAATTATATCTATAAAAATAATGTACAAACAGAAAATATATTAAATCACTTGTTGATTCAGGGAATTTAAAACTGAACCCTTTATTTAATCTACGGGAAAAGATTGTTCATGTTCCGCTGTCTATAGATTTCTTGTTCTTATTTCGTCAGTCATTGTTCGTTTTGTTTCCATTGAGTCTAAATCTGTACTGCCCAGCCCAGGGATTGAACTCAGTTATTATGTCACCAAATACCCTAAACATAGACTGCGAAAAAAAAAAAAAAACAATCTACTCCCGTAAATTAAATAGTTCAATTTGAAATTCCATGAAGGTTACCCGGATTAATAGAAAAGACCACGACCGAAAGGCTGTGATAATAACAACAAAGATGAGGAAATTAGTTCTAATGTAAATAAATCTAGTTTCGCTTCTGACTTTCGATTCTCACATAAAGTCCAGTTCATGGCCTTGTGCCACACTAAACTAGTGGATAATGAATAAACATCTGCAATCCCAAATATAGTTTGTGATGTGACCATCAGAAATTTTCCTGCTTCTAAAAAAAAAAAAAAAAATCCATAGCAATAGCCATGTTTCACCTTCTTACCTGGGACAAAACACCACCTGGTCCGTATACAGTGGGCGTATTGCAGGCGGCGGAATCTGTTCGAGATATCCTCTGAGACCTCTTTACTCTTTGTCGTTGTTCTATCGACGACCATGCCCGTTCAAGCAAATAATCCACTACTTTGTCAATCATCATGAATGGCTGAGGCAAATTGTCCCACCACGAAGCAGGATCACTGAGGAAATAGTCATCCCGATAACCGCTTTCATGACTTTCACTTGTGCCTTCAAGCGGCTGCGAAGTGTCCTCAAAATTGTCTTCTGTATTATTCCGTCTTTTCGACATCGGTGCAATCATCGTTATAAATTATTCTGTATTTTTATTATTATTATTTTTAACACTGGGTTAAAGAAAACGATTGCAAATAGCAAGAAGTGATTTTAACAATGTCTGTCAAGCGTCGATAACAACGGTAACTAAGGTAAACTGCACTGGAGTTACTTCCCTTTACTTTTTATTTTAAAAATGCTAATCTAACAAAACAAAAACTGGCTGTGCGGTCAAAATTTAATAAAATGCTCTTAAAATTTAAGAGGAGTCCCCCGAAGCAAAAAATCTACTCCGGAGCGGGAGGTCTAGGGTCCATTCATTGTAGAGAGACTAGAGAGAGTCTCTCTTTTAATGTAACCAGCGTAATTCAATCTTTATATAGACTATTTTTTTTTAAAGAAAAAAACTTTTATTTACAAAATTTTCACTTGTTATAATTATCTTGGATACTGTTAACTCCAAACTATGTATAAAATACTGATTTATCTCCCTTTATTCTCGTTTAACTTGCCTCATATTCTGAACACTCCTTTCGATTTAAAAATTATGCATCAGAAATAAAACAAAAATTAAAAAAAATAGCATCAAAAATGCATTTTATTAAAAATAGCATCAAAAATGCATTTTATTTTATTGTTCCAATTTTTTCCTTGAGTCAAATCTGAAATTTTATCTCTGAAGAATGCACGCCTTATAATTTTTTTATTTATTTATTTATTTATTTTATTTTATTTATTTTTATTTTTTTTTTTACATGATGTTTTCGGCAACTAAGCTTGCTGGACAAAATATTCTTGTTCTGACTTCTAAGAATATTTTTCTTCTATGGACATCCCTTCATTAATTCTTGAGTTGCACCATTTAGTCTTCTTAGCTTCACGTTATTTTTCGGTTTTTTTTTTTTCTGTGTTCGTATTATATCTCAAGAGGATTTCACACACTGAATTATTATCGAACTTAGGATATAAGAGTAAGAATCAGTCAGTTATATGCCATGCACGCGTAAGCGATCATGTATCTTTCGATACATGATTGACGAGGCAGATTTTTTTTTCCCGCAGTGGGTTGTCATTTCTTTCTGTGGTAGACCAATTGCCATCTAAGGCTATAGAACCCGGTCAGAGAAAAGGATTCATACCTTTCCCAAAGTATTTTCCATGTAAGTGAATGTAATGGATTCGAACTCGGCTTGCTATCCATTACTCCACAGTGCCTCCCTAAGACTAGAGTTCCGAAATTGGAATTGAAGGGACGTAACTCACTGTTTGTCATGCAGAAATGATCTGAAGTGCTAAACTTAACAAGACTCATTGTCTTTATCGCAAAATTCACATACTAAATTGGCATATTTTGAATTTCAAAAACAGGCATTGAAAATACTGGAGAAACTGAAAAGTAATTAAATCATTAACATCGTT